ATTTTCAAGTAAACATTCGAAAATTAGGTTATTAAGCAGTAACGTCGAACTTTGGGTTGTTTATCTTCTGTTTTTGTCTACCTAAGCATTTTATCAGTAATCGAGTTGGACAAGTTGACTATCTAACTTTAATCGTCCTAGTCTATAGTGTCAAAAGAGATGACTAACCAACCAGTATATAGAAGAATGAAGGTCGCCAGTGAATCCAAGTTATGTCCGGGTGGTTATGTCGACGAATGATATGATTGATGCAGGTGTCTATTACTCTTGCTTTCAGGTGATTTGAAATTCCAAAAGATACTAGTTTTCTACTTATCAGGCAGTTATTTCTGAAGATAAGCTAACAAACCAACATTGAGACCTACATAGAAGTGTATCACTGCAATTTTCCGTACCACTTGGTTTATTCTTATTCTCAAAATAAGCATCTTAACCTTACGTTATTTGCATGTGATTAAAAGTAAATCAAACGACGAGAATAAAGAATGAAACACGAGATAAAAGCACCACTATACAACAAATACCTTTGAAAGTTTGTTGAGAAATTAGTAGGAGCACAAGAAAGGAACTAGTGATAGTGTTGTGAATGGTGACACAAAAAGAACAAAATTCATGGCTTCCAAAGTGTTAGTGTATCAAGAAGAAACATTAGAAATCGTACGTCGAATTTCTGAATTTAAAGTAGCATTTAAACCTAAGATTTCACGCCAAGACTATATTTGCCTGCTTAGGGATCAAAATGATTCAATTAAACAAACTAATTTGATCTCCTAGTTATTCTGGAATGACCGTGGGCTCAAGTATATCCGTCAAACCTACTGGTTATCTCAAATTTGAGGTATGTGGAGACTTATTTGTTGGTTTCAGATTGGTACATATTGTGGAGTGACATTATTCGAAGGGACATTGGAAACCTAGGAGCTCTGGGTAGCTGTTTAGTCCTAATCTGGGGTTCCTCATCATTGCACATGCATGACCCTTCTAGGAAATACAGACCACTGGATGTCGATCCAGTGGCTCTATGCCAACTCTGTGATCAAGGAACCTGAAGGTTCGGGGTTTGATCCCTAGCACGGTCATAGATGCACGCTGATGAGGAGTCCAGTGTTAGGACGAAACAGCTGTCCAGTACTCGTAGATTTCAAGTATTTCCTCAACTGATGTTAGTCCATGATGAATACCTACAGACTATTCCCAGTTAGTTTATAAAAACAAATGAAATTGGAATAAGCAAGTGAATTTAGATCAGTAATCTAGAAAACAAAACCAGCTATTACAATTTATGCACTAACAAGCATCAGTAGGACAGAGTGGAACAGAATTAATTCTATGCACTAATAAATTCAGATGAAGACTGACTAAATACCGAATTTTAGCTCATAAGATCAAAGTTCAGTCCATGTCACATGAATGATACAACATCTATTCTACAGTTTTGCAAAACATTACTACCACTTAAAACAAGAAACAAGAAGTAATGGGCATACAAATACATGATGTCAGAAATCGAGTTATTACTTCGATAAGATTATATTCAATAGTTTCTACTTGAAATGTCATCCAATAACTAATGCAATGTTACAGTGTCCCATGTTAAATAAGCAAAACTAAAGTCTAATTTTTACTGACCGACAGTCAGTGTAACTTAAATATGCATAAATACCTAGAAACAATCTTTAGCTGAATTCTGAAAGTTCTTACTTTGGTCATATACATTTTTTTTTAATGTTACATAATTGGTTTAACTCTAATTTCAACAAACAGTCGAAAATGTGTTGTTTTTTTATATTCTTAGCATACAGCTTTTGAAAATAAATAGCATACTAAAATATAATCTTTCATCTAGGAATATGAATCATTCTAGATATTTGAACTGATAGTTAATTATTTACACTTTAGACTAACAAACCTTAAACGTGAATATTTATGTCACACTAGTAAAACATTGACTCTCTGTTTGTTTTACAGGTAAATTTAAATTATTATTAGAGTTATTTCGGTAAATTCAATTAAATCAAGTCATTTTATCTCCTTTGAGTAGATCAAGAGTATAAATTATATATAATTTAACGTAGTATTCATCATGGACTGACATCATTTAGAGAACCACTGAAAACCTGGGAGCACTGGACATCTGTTGAGTCCTAACATGAATGACAGTCGCACTATGTGGCAAATTGACAGAAGCAGGAAACTGTGGACCATTGAACGTCGATCCAGTGGCTGAGTAGTTACCGCGTTCGCCGTAAGACCTTAAGGTCCTGAGTTCTATCCTAGGTCTGGTCGTGAGGAAATCCTGCTGAGAAGTTGCATATTAGGACGGAACAGCTATCCAGTGCTTCCAGGTTTCCAGCAGTACTCCAACTGATGTCAAACCATGATGAATATGATATAGTGTGTAGAAAGATTGACAAAGTCTTCATAAGAAGCTGCATATGTTTGTAGCCTTTTTCCACCAATCAATTTGCTTTGAAATTCCGGGAAGAAACGCTTAAACCAACGTGTCGGTATGACTGAATTTAAAGGCCATCTTAGCAACAGGTGAGATAACCAATTGCGTTTCTCTATTTAATGAAAAAATTCGTTTCCAGTCGGAATACTGAAACCTTATTGGTTATTTCAGTAGTTGCCAGGATGGCCTTTAAAGTCACCCGTAAGCACCAGGTTGGTTGAAGAGAGGAAAAAATCAATAGGATTTCAATCGACTAGGCCTAGAGCTTGTAATTTTTATTGTTGACGTTACCGTTGACATTTTAAATACACCTTTATGTTATCATACAGCCTTTTTCCATTACAAAGGAACTGAGTAACCTTCAACGTTGGAATCTGAAGGTAATTTGTACAAGTGTCCGCACAAATATATAACTTAGATTATATCAAATCATTGTGAAGATATAAATGTGGTGACGGGTAAAGACAATGGCAACTCTTTCTGCTTAAGAATTCCAGGCATTTGTACAACGCTATAATAAATGAATTGGAGCATTTCTGAGGGTTATTGAGAAATTCAGTAAAATGCTGGATGACATATAAACAGAATTTACATTCATAAGTCCTCAAATTTTGAAACAGGCTCCTAGTAAATCCTTCAATGATGGACATGGTGAAGATAAAAAATGAGTTTAAGAAACCTGATAATATTTTTCATGTTATAGTGACGAATGATGACCATAATAACCCTTTCACTACCGACCCCGAAATAATAGACGATATGGATATTGGATCAGTTCATGTTCGTAAAGACCTATAAGTACTTACAGAAGTATTGCAAAATGATGTACCATGTTTAGTGCCATCTAGGCTTTCTTCAACTATGCCTCACAATGAACGTCAACAAGAAGTTATCAAGGAGTATTGGTGCAAGCCCAAACATCAACGTCAACAATTAAACGGATATTAAAAGGCGTTCAAGCCCCTACACAAGTATCAATTATGATAACTGCCTTGAGTGATAATGGTTTACTATATCAAAAACAATTTATGTCCATACGAGAAAATGGACACCAGAACTGTCTGCAAGTCAGTTTCACTTCAGACATCACATCTACTAACCAACAGGCAACCAGAAAACCCCAAATTCGCAGGTCACTTTTAGTCTATCAAGCTGTCAGAAGCAAGTCGTTGGGGTTGAATACTGTGGTGTTGACTACGACTATCCATCGTATAGCGCAGTACCAAATCATTCCGAGAAACTACACTTAGTTTTTTGTGGTTCAAACTGAACAGAAGATTCCAGGCTGTCATCTAAGAAACTAAGGCTTGTTGGCAAACGGAATCAAAACGGTATGACAGCACTGTTTACGCAAAAAAGCCTAAGTGAATTTGGTTTATCGTGGTTGGCAAATTCATGTAAACATTTTATTGGTAAACGTCGCATGGTAAAGCTTAAATCCACACAGATGGTTGGGATGAACTAGAAGCATTTTTTTGAAAATTCAGTGCTGTACAGTATTAGAGTTTCACATTTAAAGCTGTGGGAAACGTTTCTGCAAACATTTCCCACAACTTTAAATATATATATATATATATATATATATATATATATATATATATATATATATATATCTTAAGTGAACCGATACATAAGAATTTTAACAGTTTACGAAGATGAAGCTCTTCATGGGAGGATATTGAATACTTAGTACGCCTAGAGGATTTGGATTTCGCCTATGACTTATGTCTAATGTCCTACAAACTTGAAGATCTATAGGCGAAATCCAACAAATTGACAGAAGAGGCAGGGCAGCGAAGATAGGACTTCAAGTGAACGTAGAGAAGACAGAGGTGATGAAGATACCCAATCAACACCACCAACAACAACAAAAATCTCGAATCATCATGAACGGTAGAAACTTAAAGGAAGTAGCCTCCTTCACCTATCTAGACAGCATCATTTCAACTACAGGTTGCACAGGCACAGACGAGGACTTGAAAGCCAGTCAGGATCAGAAAGACAGCAAGATAGGTGTTCGTTAACCCGAAACCAGTGTGGAGATCTACCTCACTCAGCATGTGGAAAGAGATCCGGATTTTCAACACCAACGTCATGTCAGTGCTTCTATATGGCTCAGAAACTTGGCACGTTACAAAAGACATTTCCAACAAATTACAGACATTCATCAACAACTGCCTATGCTGGCTCGTTAGTGAAGATAGGTGGCCAGAAAGAATCAGCAACAAGGAACTCTGGCTGGCTGGCTGGCTGGCTGGCTGACAACAAACCAACCAAGAACCTGTCGCTTAACAAATATGCAGAAGGAAGTGGAGATGGATTAGGCATACACTGAGAAGGCCGACTGGGGACATCACGCGCCATGTCAGGCCAGGCCAGGCCAGGTACTCGAGTGGAACCCAGATGGGAAGCGACGAGTTGGGTGTCCGAGGTGGGGATGACATGGAGGAGATGGTGTGAGGAATAAATGAGAGCTTGTGGGCTGTTGTGGAACCAGGTTCAAAAAACTTCAGAGAAGAGAGTGCACTGAAGATGTGCTATTGAAGCTCTATGTTCCATTAGGAACCCAAGGGACAAATAATAATAATAAAGAAGAGATAATTCAGCGAAGAAAATTTTCTTTTTTCGACGATATCAATGGGCATGTTTCGTAGTCGAATAATAATAAAATAAAGTATACCTTTGTTGTATGTTCTGTTCTTTCTTCAGTTTTCACAAGCTTTCATATCTTTCTTTGTTCATTTTAAAGTAGCACAGAGGTCACGGTGATAAATAAAGCGAAATCAACTAATCTTTCGTATAAAAAAGAGAAAAGTACAGGTTAACACAATAATGTATCTAGACACTGATATGCAAACATACAAATACACATTAGAAGTTATCTTGACAAAAAAGAATTAGTCTTCACGTTTCACTAAAGGTTTTGATGGTAATGCCTGTATAGCACTAGTTGATGATTTCGATAATTTCATAACCAGTTTATTTCCTGATTCATTTCTATTCGTTTTATTGTTCAAATTTACATCAGAAGATTTGATTATTTTGGTTCTGAATAGTTGTTTTTGTTGTTGGCTTTTTTGAAGTGAATACTCTGAATATTGAGAATCCTGTGTACCACTCTCCTTGTTAACCATCATTTCCTCATCGAAGATGCTACAACAATAGGTGCATAAATGATTTTATAACAGTGATGCTTAAATACGTCAGAAAATATTACAGTTTCATCCAGAAAACATCATTTATGGGTTAATAAAAGTTATACAAGCAGAAGTTGCATACAAGCAAGGGTAAATAGGCTTTTCTCATTCTACGTTATCACAGATTACTAATATCCAGCATACTTTTCTTGGAATAACTTATTTAGGACCGATGAAATTTATTTTACATGTTGTTTCCATAACAGTTAATTTTATACACTCTGTAGAGTATGAATATGAACAAGATAATTTAGGAAAAGGTGAATACACGTTTAACTGATGATTCTTCGCCCAAAATGACGACAAAACGCTCTGTTAGACCGAAGAAAAAGAAGCAAATCTCCTTATTAATGTATTATTTACTGAAGAACCAGAAGAAGAAGAAGAAGAACTAGGAATGTATTGAGTTGAGAAGAAAGTGTGCATAGTCTGAAATGAGGATGGTAGATCTCTAAACTTACACCAAATGTCACTGATTATCAAATTTTTGCACCTTGTGAATTATGGCTTATTAACTACACTTATCAAAATGGTGTATTGAAATGCTTGAGTAATAGCAAACCTTATTCCGAACTTTCATGATGGTGTGAGGTAACCGACCATAGCGTTATTCTTGTTGTTGTCACGCATTAACAAAGTTTTAATGTTACAGTCTTATTCAGTTAAGGATTATCGAAGAGTCAACAAAAACCTGATCAGTAGTTCATTTGAACATTTGAGTAACTTCTCCGAAGATTATCAAGATTTGCATTTTCATAAAAACCATTGTGAGAAAAATGACATTTATCTGTAATTTGTATTACCAATTATCTATCACTTCTCTACCGAAATTTCTTGCACATAAAGCTTCCCTTCACCTAGTTGAATATCAATGTCACATCTTCAAAGCGGTATGATGAAGATATACTTCAGAACACTGTACAATATCATCTTCAAGTAAGTCATGTAGACGTTTGCTAGGTGTTACTTACTTGTACTCATTCAAGTACAGTCACATGCATTGTGGCACCAATCGTAAGCTTCAGTACTAACCTATACAATGTCGTCTGAAAACAGGAGGGATTCAGACTACAGATTATTTAGCCTTCCACCGTAATAACTTGAAAAGGTAAATCTTTTACGATTACCCCATCCTCTGTGACTAAACCAACCCGAAAACTTTTGACTAACTTTCACAAGTAACAATGAGAAGCTGTTAGACCATATCGTAAATTTGAGGAAATACAAACTATCAACCCCCAACCAACTAGTCTATAATCAGGTTAAAACCAAATTATTGACATAAATTGTTCAAATAATGCCTATAAACTAGGGTTTTCACTAAAGTACAATGGAAAGACAATAAACGAGATTTAGAATTCGTTCTCATCACAGGGTTATCTTTGTTATGGTTGTGATTAGTTCAACTGATTAAATGTTTGTGCTTTGAAGATTCTACAGTGACATAAACTTAATAAATAGATTACTATTAGCGTTACACATAATAGGTCAGAAACACTATATATTCATTTGACCTCTGTCGACTAAAATTTGAATGAAAATTTAGGTGAACTTCGTTTTTAACCATTTTCATCAACCATAATAATAGGTTAAGGTTTAGCTAGTTATTATTGCGAATTATTCTATCGATTACTTATGGTTGGTTAGATCACCTAAGTGTTGAACGAATATTATTACCTTATAAGTAGGAAAACCTTTACATTATCAATTAGATATTACAAAACAACGAAAAGGAACATTTCTAATCGGTGGCTACTTGAAAAATTCTGTTGATAATATCATGCATCAAAGTCAGTTGAGATACTGATGAAATAAACAAAAGCCTACATACGAACTTTTGTTAAAAGCAATAATAATAACCATTTGACTATCTGAGATAGCCATATATTGGTAGACTAGTATTTATACTGGGTGACGATTGAAAGTGGAATGAAAACTTGGACCGCTGCCGAATTCGAACCAGCGACCAGCGGGTTTCCGACCCGATGCTTTCCTAACTTTTAGTAGTCAGGTAAAACCCTTGGTGATTGAGTTGAAATAAAATCTGGTCAACAGTCAGACCTCTTAGTGCGGCTGGTAGGGGCCTCGTAGCTCAGCTGGTAGAGTTTTGGGTCGGGAACCAGATGATTGCTGCTTTGAATCCGGTCGTGATCAAGACTTTCATTTCACCTTTAATCAACACCCAGTAATAATGATAACGTTAATAACGTTTTAGTATTCCATCCTGTTGCAAAGTTGTTCACATCTTCACCAAATCTTGTTACATGGTGAGACTAAACACTCAGCTTTCGATATTTTTCTCAGATAATTATCAAGGTTCACTTTTCTTTTCGTGTAAATCAGCAATTAGGCAGTTATTGTGACCGGAACTACTAACATTTACTGACATAAAGACTTACTACTGCACGACTGATGATGGCTATCATCTTAAATGTTAACTAGCTGGGTTATGTGGTTTAAATCCCAATCAAAATCTAGACTGCATTTCGATAGTGAGTGGTCTGATCAATGACCATACTAATAAAACCTATAAACAAATGATTTTAGAAAAATAATAATAATGAGAAACATTTTCTTCATATTTATGCAACAATTTGCTAGAACATTGGATGATATTATAATATTCTATTCAATTGTAGATTTAATCATAGGAATCATTAATAATAACAATTAAGAATTACCATTCTATGCCTGAAGCTGAGTGATCTGTTGTTTGTTTTCTAGAGGAACAGTTTGACGATGATGAAATAACTGCTGAACAAGCTTTAGTAAGTTTCGTAGTTGTTCTTGAAATTCGTGAGATTGATGAATACTTCAGTGTATTAGAAGTTGATGCAGAACCAATGGACCGATCATCAACTGAATCTGAATAATTATTTGCCTAAACAAATACTAGTAATCAATAAGTCAGATACTTTCCATATGGCATTATTTACATTTAATAATCATAAAATGGTATATTCTTAAGCCTTTAAAAAGTAACTATTTATTAAATACAGCGTACGTTTAACATTGTTATTTATTTCTTGATGACAATCAGTGTCTTACACAACACACTTTTTATCCTACTTAGATCTGGGCAGCTGGATATTTATGCATCCCAGTGAGTCATATCATCCCCAGAGACTCTTCAACTCAGTACTTATCCTTCAAAATATCAGATCACTATCCAATTAGCTGATAATTCACAATAATAAGTTATTGTTTAGGCTATTTGTGAGCTGCATTGAACCAAAATAATGAACCTCTGCTGGTATATGAGCATCGTTTTACAATTTAATTACTAAAATAGACAAATAGTTTGTACAAGTTTCAAGAGATGAATCACAAGATTTTTGTGCTAACTGGATGTTATCAGTAGGTGATTTACGTTTGCGATAAAAGTCAAATATGACCAAACAATATAGACATGAAAATGCTTAAATACATTCAGCTTGCTTTTCACCATAACTTCAGATTTTGTATTCTACTGTTATTCACATCAAGTATGATGCTATGAACTAGTTAAAAATAATCACAATAAAATCTCTATAAGTTACAAATGATGAAATGAGCAATCAAACTTCGGTATTTTGTCTATAAAAGTACTTTTCTATGAAATAAAGTAACGCAATTTGCTGTCTCACTAGTTGCTAGGGTGACTTTTAAAGTTATCCAGGCCTCACCACTTCCATCTGAATTTATCCAGATTATGATAGTCAGCATAGAACAGCCCCAACCGACAGCTACTATCTTGGTGCGACTTTAGAGGCCACCCTAATTCGACTTCTGTATTTCGATTGGAAAGGAAGATCTTCATAAAATGAAGAAGTCTAATTGGTTATTTCAGTTGTTTCTAGAGTGGCCTGTCCAACTATATGAACCGGTAAGTTTCCGTGTTATACCGTACCCTGTTTGAGTTGACCATTAGGATATATGTTTTGTATACAATTTCATAAATATGAGGTAAGAAATTAACGTATAAATCTTTATTTAGACATCTAAAGCTCTAAGTTTTTAATAGTCTTCAGATAATCAGAAACCCATGTACTTGGAAAGGAGGTATTATTCATATTGCTAATTCAGTAAGTTTTTTTAGAAAGATATTTTCAATAGCTTATAATTTTAAGTATTCTAGGTTGTAAGCAGCTGACGAGAACCGCCGAAATAATCAAACCATTCCACATTATTCTGCTCCAATGACTGTTCTTGCTTATTTACAGTCGATAAAAGAAAATCTGTGTAAGAAGATAAACTCTTTTCCTTTTTCACTGTGTCTCCTTTTACCTGAACTCTTGAGTTGACGATGCATATTAGGAAATCATAACCGAACTAAGGAGCATTTGCATTTCCCTATTTTCATTTAAATCTCTAATGTCAGTCATGTAAATACTTTACAGTTTGTAAAAAAATTATTCATCGCATGCACCATTAAGACGTTGTAGAAAAAGAATTTGTGTTTAAAGCTAATGTACTTAGAAACGGGGTCATAACCTAGTTCCTATAATAATATCATCAGTTCATAGCCCATGACCAATGAAATTGAGACTATGGTGCTATTATGAGTTACTTTTCTTCTGCTTATTAAACTGTTACACATACTAGTGTAGTTTCCATTAGATGACATTATATTTATTTGTTTACAATGAAAAATACCGAGATGTAAATTCAAATGAATCATGAACTCAAGTCCCTGAAGTGGTTGAAGGAAAACCGGAGTGTAGTATTCATTCTGACTAGTGTCTAGCTATAGTGAAGTTTCCGATGAATAGGACTGAATCGAAGCTTCAGTTCACTGTCGGATAATTAAAATGTAATACTTTCGCATCACAAAGTATATATACATATATATAATTTCCGATCTAATAAATGTGGTTACAGCTTGAATTACCATAGGATTGCAAAAAATTTGTACTGTATTTACTAGTGATGCTTTTGAAGTGAAGACAAGAGTGAAACAAGGTTGCCTACTATCACCCATGATATTCCTGACTGTGTTGTGGTCGACTGGATCATGCAACAAAATTTGGCGAGCGAGAAGAGGGAGATACGCTGGCTGGACTGCAGAAAAGAACATAGAAGATCTGGATTTCGCCAACGATGACTTGTGCCTGATGTCACATTAACTTGAAGATCTACACGCGAAAACTAACAAGTTGACAGAAGAGGCAGGGCAGCGAAGGAAGACGGTACTTCAAGTGAACATAAGGAAGACAGAGGTGATGAAGACACAGCACCACCACCACCATCAACAACAACAACAACAACAACAGCAACAAACTCCAATCACCATCAACGGGAGAAGCTTAAAGGAAGTAACCTCCTTCACCTACCTGCCTAGGAAGCACTGTTTCAACTACAGGCAGCACAGGCACAGACGACGACGTCAAAGTCAGTCAGGATCGGAAAGATAGCAAGACAGGCGTTGATTAGCCTGAAACCAGTGTGGAGATCTTCTGCACTGCACTCAGCATAAAGTGTGATCATGATCCGGATTTTCAACACCAATTCAGTCAAGTCAGTGCTGCTGTATGGTTCAGAGACTTGCCGGCGCGTTACGAAAGGCATTTCCAATAAACTACAGACATTCATCAACAACTGCCTACCCTGGCTCGCTACTGAAGATCAGATGGATTGCCAGAATAATAAGAATAAGCAACAAGGAGCTCTGGGAACGAACCAACCAAGAACCTATCACCCAACAAATATGCACTGGAAGGAAGTGGAGATGGATTGGGCATACACTGAGAAGGCCGACTGTGGACATCACGCGCCATGTCAGGCCAGGCCAGGTACTCGAGTGGAATCCCCATGGGAAGCGACGAGTTGGACGTCATGGGCGAGGGTGACATGGAGGAGATCGTGCGAGGAGGAAATGAGAGGTTGTGGGCTGTCGTGGAGCCAGGTTCAAAAGATTTCAGGGAACAGAGTGGAGTGGAGACGTGCTACTGAAGCCCTGTGTTCCACTAGGAACCCAAGGGACTAATAATGAAATAATAATAATAATAATTTATTAGAATTTCTGTCATTTGAGCGCTAAACAAACCTCTACTGGTCCTTTATGTACATGAAGTTCTGGATGACCTAGTATTTAATATAAATAATACACCTACAAGAGCAAAAATACTTTCGCAAGAACAGTTTGACATCTGAAATGTTGATAAACCTACTACAATTTCTTTAAAAGCATAAATGCGAACTAACTATGAAGGGATCACTGATATAACTACAGTTTTCAACTGATAGAAAGAAACTGACTTACTCAAGTTATATTGTATGCTAAGATTATCTATCTGTCAAAACTCTCAAATTATCTAAATTGTTTCAAAACAGAAAAATAATGAAATTTACTTCAAATAGAAGTGTTAATGCCTAGGCTTAGATGTCAGATGATATAAACTACTTTTAAATAAGTCTTCCTCAAATTTACATTCAAATGCAACCTCCATTGACTACTTGGTAGGTATCTGATTTAACAGATAATTGACAATAAAACATTTAACGCTAGTGTACTTACATATCAAAATTAAGACTTTAAAAACACTCTGGTATCGTTTATCATCCTAACAGGTAACCTTAGTCCAAATGTACATACAAAGAGTTGAGGTAACAAAGTGTACCTAAACTAATAATTCAGCTAGAAATACAAAATGTTATATTAAGAATCGATGACTAAGAAACTCTTGATAAAATGACTCAGAATCAATCACTATGGCACAAATGTACACACTCCTTATCATCTTTGAAATTCCAGCTATTTTTCTGTTCATTTTTTTACTTTTGATATAGTAGTTATTTTATATCCATATCTTCTGTGCATAGAACTATGAAGCGTGACAACTAGAAGTGATCTACTTCAGTGGTAATGTCTATGTTGATCTATCGATCTGTTTGTCAGCAACATAAATAACATTTATCAGTTTATTTATGAGTTTATCGTTCCCTATACCATTTACACTAATCATAAAATGTACTGAAAGTCAAGTTACCAACAGTTAGATTATTTAGTTTTACAGAAATATGCTACATTCTTCTTAAATGCTGAAGATAAAAATGAAAACTGATTATCCAAATTAAACAGTGTAGAATCGGATTACAAGAGTGCAATAATTCAACCTGCCTAATCTCATTCATGCACAATAAAACAAACTTAATCAAAATAAATTACTGAAAAAAGGATAAGACAATGTAGATAACATGACAACGATCCAACAGCTTTTTTTTACTATACTTTATACTGACTTTGTAGTATATTTTGTTCGATTTTATGCTTACGTCAACCAGCAGTAAGCATTACATTTGACTGATGAATGGTATGTGATGAGTTTCACATCATACTAACTTATCAACTTTTTACAAAGTTGAGAAGACATCCACAACTAAAAGTCAAAAATCAGAGAATATCATATAATCATTAACTCACAGCCTCATCATCTAATTACTTGTTGCTTCACTATTTATGAAATAGGTTTTGAAAACATTTATAAGAAAATATTTGATCTTCTAATCCTGTCAAGTGTATAAGCGCATTTCTCATAACTATATAACAAAACAGATCTCACCGCCTGTCTGTAATCTCAGTTGTTTATGAGTACACAATATCTTATTAGAGTTGTAGTTTAATATATTCTTATCAAGCTTTCTATAAGCATACTGCACACCATAGAAGTAAATTGGTTTATATTATTATTATTATTATTATTAATATTATTATTATTAGTCCCTTGGGTTCCTAGTGGAACACAGGGCTTCAGTAGCACGTCTCCACTCCACTCTGTTCCCTGAAATCTTTTGAACCTGGCTCCACGACAGCCCACAACCTCTCATTTCCTCCTCGCACGATCTCCTCCATGTCACCCTCGCCCATGACGTCCAACTCGTCGCTTCCCATGGGGATTCCACTCGAGTACCTGGCCTGGCCTGACATGGCGCGTGATGTCCACAGTCGGCCTTCTCAGTGTATGCCCAATCCATCTCCACTTCCTTCCAGTGCATATTTGTTGGGTGATAGGTTCTTGGTTGGTTCGTTCCCAGAGCTCCTTGTTGCTTATTCTTATTATTCTGGCAATCCATCTGATCTTCAGTAGCGAGCCAGGGTAGGCAGTTGTTGATGAATGTCTGTAGTTTATTGGAAATGCCTTTCGTAACGCGCCGGCAAGTCTCTGAACCATACAGCAGCACTGACTTGACTGAATTGGTGTTGAAAATCCGGATCATGATCACACTTTATGCTGAGTGCAGTGCAGAAGATCTCCACACTGGTTTCAGGCTAATCAACGCCTGTCTTGCTATCTTTCCGATCCTGACTGACTTTGACGTCGTCGTCTGTGCCTGTGCTGCCTGTAGTTGAAACAGTGCTTCCTAGGCAGGTAGGTGAAGGAGGTTACTTCCTTTAAGCTTCTCCCGTTGATGGTGATTGGAGTTTGTTGCTGTTGTTGTTGTTGTTGTTGTTGATGGTGGTGGTGGTGCTGTGTCTTCATCACCTCTGTCTTCCTTATGTTCACTTGAAGTACCGTCTTCCTTCGCTGCCCTGCCTCTTCTGTCAACTTGTTAGTTTTCGCGTGTAGATCTTCAAGTTAATGTGACATCAGGCACAAGTCATCGTTGGCGAAATCCAGATCTTCTATGTTCTTTTCTGCAGTCCAGCCAGCGTATCTCCCTCTTCTCGCTCGCCAAATTTTGTTGCATGATCCAGTCGACCACAACACAGTCAGGAATATCATGGGTGATAGTAGGCAACCTTGTTTCACTCTTGTCTTCACTTCAAAAGCATCACTGAGCTTCCTACTGTGAATTACTTGGCATGTGGCATCTTCATATAGTTGTTGAATGAGGCGGATAAAGGTTTGCGGTACTCCGTAGTAATGAAGCAGTTTCCAAATTACCTCTCGGTCGACGCTGTCAAAGACCTTCTCAAAGTCGATAAAGTTGAGGTTAAGTGCTGATTGCCATTCTATACTCTGTTCTATGATGATGCGAAGGGTTGCGATTTGGTCCGCACATGATTTGTACTTCCTGAAGCCTGCCTGTTCCGTAAATTGGTTTATATACTTAACTAAAATCAAAAATTAATGGATGCAAACAGTCTTGCAACATTAGTACAAATTCCTTAATCGTTAGATTTATCATCAGATATTTATAAGTTTTCGATCAGATATTTTACACATACTGAATTCTATAATGAAGTGATGGAAAAAAGCTGCAATAAACAGCCAATATTATTAAGTTTCAGGATTTTGATTCTCAGTCATACTCTTTCCATGTAAGCGGATGTTTTATCACAGACATCGATAATGAGTTGATGGGTATATATCGCCTAAATGAAGCACATCATTCAGTGACTGCATATTAAGGAAGTCAGAAGTTTACTTATTACAGTAAGGAAGTTAGGTATTTATTGCTCACTATCAAATATCTAGTTTGCATTTCTGTTACTTGACTTCCAAATGCTATTCAGCTGATACTAACTGGATCTATCACAGTTGGCCTCTCGGACATAACTGACTGCAGATAACCTGCCAATAACCTTGGTTACAGATCAACGGAAATGTATGGTGCTACTGATGTAAAATAAGGAAGTAACATATTTGATCTTTCTGGTTTATTAACAGTTTTTAATATCAGTCAGATAGAATATCATATTATCATACAGAATAACCGGTTTTTATACTCCTGAGTGCCTAATAAGTTTTGTAACAAATTATAACTGGTGAAAAATGTTTATTGGTGTGCTTTAAACTATTAAACTTCATTAAGGTCCAAAAAGCTACAGAACTATCGAATTTATGGTGTGATATTATATGACCTGATATTTATATTAAGGTTAGCTAAACTGTTCGAATTAATAGATATCTATGACTGCACTTAGAGAAATTCTAAAGAGTCTGACTGCATACAGACTAAACAAACAATGAATTTCACATGAAGTCAACTCCAAGGTTATCAAAACAATCTTACTTCGAAACAAACAACATTTTTTAAATATTTTCGAACGCAAGTGATAATGGTTTGTTTATAGATCTAGAATAAGTATACCAAAATAATCATGTGAGTAGGAAATAAAAGTGTCATATGAATGTTGCAAATCATATGCTCCTCAATGAGTTAAAAACGGCTATTGTAAGTTATTTTGTGCACTGTAAATAATTCATACTACTTGTAATTAGTAAGTAGTAAACTTTTTCCAGTGTAAAACACAACTTTCACCGCTACCATTGTGACAAAATGATAATCAGCGAAGAGGACTCTTTAAACTGAATTTATTCTCAAGCTGCACATTCGTATTTATACATGATATTTAAAGACTGGAATCCGTATGGAAGATTTAACTTAAATCATCAGAGGTTGAGATAATAATAGTAGTAGTTACAATAATCATAATACTAGTTGATGATGTAAAGGTCGAATGATAACTAAACTAAGAGGGGTTACATAAGATTTTTTAAACCGTCTGTAAGGTGTATGTAGATTACAAAGGGGTGAAAATGTGGCAGAGTTAATAAGCAATCAAAGGATTAGGTAATACGAATGAGACAAGTTAACTGGAATAAATTGAAAATGTTTTGTTAAAAGTTGTAATTATCGGGAAGATTAGATGAAGTAATATTGGAAACCATGAAGTGTAAAAATCAAGAAGATAATGAAGATGTAAGAGTGAAAAGACTAATCTAACAGAAGAAGTTGGGAGAACAGAGAAGGAACGAAGCACACCTAGACCGAAATAAGTTAAGGCCAAAGTAGAGAAAAATACTGTACATACTTTGTTTGCCCACAAAAATCAAACTTCACATGATGAATAGTCAAGGCCTCTGCTGTTATTTCAGACTCAAATACCGATCTGGATATCATCCTACGCGAGTTCAACAATTATCAATTATCGTTGGAGAGAAAGGGAGAGAGGGAGAGAGAGGGAATTGGAATGAGCTATTCTTTTTCTCGACGTGCTAATTATGAAAAGTAGCAACGGAGTAATAAAAAGATCCACCTGCAGAAAACCCACATGGAACCTACAGTTAGCTAATTTCTACAGCTGGTTGCCTATAGTGAAGAAAGGAAACCTCATTTACTCACTCTGCTATCCCTTACGTTATATTTGTGGCACGTACTCTGTACATAATGAACTTGATTTTCTGAGAGAGGGGCTTGCGTAAAAAGGCTATCCTAGCTGATTTTTGGCAAGAAAGGTATGCGAAACCAGTTGTTGGTTCGGTTTCTAGAAAGACTTCGATCATGAAATTGAAATTCTAAGGTGATGCAGTACCAGACATCCTGAAAAATAGTCTCTCGAAATCCACTAATAGGACGTTTTTCGCAGCCGAACTTCATTTGGCACTTACTAGTCGTTAATTGTTCTCCGTTTGTGTACAAGACAACATCACTCAACAGACCACCTCAATATGTATCTGCCAGTTCACCTGCTCCTGTGGAGCAAGGTACACTGGCCGTAGTCAAAGATGAATGTCAACGCATATAGGAGAAAAGATTCCAGACTGGCTTTATAAGGATGAAAGGAAATGAATTAGAAGCTCTACCTTTGAACATCTAATCCATTACAACCAACCGACCCAAACAATGATTTTAAGGTTTTCTATTGAGTTCAGTCAAACTTCTCACGTTTCCTCCACCTTAAACTTCTAAAATCAGTAGACGCATTGGTTATTCATCATGTGAAGTTTGATTTTTGTGGACAAACAAAGTATGTACAGTATTTTTCTCTACTTTGGCCTTAACTTATTTCGGTCTAGGTGTGCTTCATTCCTTCTCTGTTCTCCCAACTTCTTCTGTTAGATTAGTCTTTTCACTCTTACATCTTCATTATCTTCTTGATTTTTACACTTCATGGTTTCCAATATTACTTCATCTAATCTTCCCGATAATTACAACTTTTAACAAAACATTTTCAATTTATTCCAGTTAACTTGTCTCATTCGTATTACCTAATCCTTTGATTGCTTATTAACTCTGCCACATTTTCACCCCTTTGTAATCTACATACACCTTACAGACGGTTTAAAAAATCTTATGTAACCCCTCTTAGTTTAGTTATCATTCGACCTTTACATCATCAACTAGTATTATGATTATTGTAACTACTACTATTATTATCTCAACCTCTGATGATTTAAGTTAAATCTTCCATACGGATTCCAGTCTTTAAATATCATGTATAAATACGAATGTGCAGCTTGAGAATAAATTCAGTTTAAAGAGTCCTCTTCGCTGCATATTTTGTTTTTCAAACATATTTGACTTTGAACCAAAAAAACATAAAGATTTTTTTAGTCCTCTTAAAAATGGTCAACCAAATCACTTTAATAATTTTCAAAAATTAAGGTTCGGAAGACCAATCGTATGTTCATTTATAGATGATAACAATTACTGATTTCTATTTTCTTTGTTTGCTCAGAATTTATAAATTTTCAGTAATATTCTTACTTGCCTAATCTTCACATGACTTTCACCTGTTGAGTTATTTGTTCTATGATGTAAATTATTCTTCAGATTTCGATTTATTATTACATTTTCAGTGACTTTCGTAGATTTCTTTGTGCATTTATCTTGTTTTTCATCGCTTTTACTTTTCAAATAACTTGCTGACTTGATATCTGGGTTAATAACTCGTATATCTTCATAACATTTCAGTTTTTCATTTATTTCATAGTTTTTTGTATGATTACTGTTACCTAATTGAAGAATAGTATCAGATTCCGAATCAGAATTGGTAATTTTTGACGTTTTCTTTATTCTTTTACATGATTTGAATACTTGAGACCTAAGGTTTAAAACAACACAATACTGTTGAATCAGTTACATATAGCAGTATACATAAGACAGATTTCGAAAAAGGCAAACCTCTTCATTGGTGCATTAAACAAAGATGGCTGTAAAGAAAACTCTGCTTATGTTGCTTTTACTACAACAGCTACTCATCATTCAATGTATCTGTGGGTTGAGTTACATGATAAAAATTTCACTTTTATACTCATTTATCATTTTTTGTAATGACTAGTATTTTTAAAGTACATTATTGTTTTATCTTCCTAACACCTACATAAATGTCATTTTAAAAAGTAGTAATAAGACTTACGTTTGGCAAAGTGTATCACAAAAGTTATCAAAACAAGTAAAATTTAATATTGGGTGATAATTGAAAGTGAAATGAAAATTTGAACCGCAACCGAACTCGAACCAGCGATCACCAGGTTCCCAGCTCAATGTTCTACCAATTGAGCATGATAATGATAATGATTTGTTCTTCAATTATTTTGTAATTTATCGTGACTAATTATCAACATTGATCCTCTTTATCCAACTTCCATTAAAAGGAAATTCATATCTACTATCCTTAGCGACTTTTATTTACTTAGCATTTTTTACAACTTATCCTGTTTATTACAGCGTCATCTAAGTAACATAAACTATGTTATTTCAAAACATTGAACAATTGTATTCAGGAAAATCGCTGAAAGAAGCTTCTTTGCAGCTTGTTTTCTTGGATTTGTATATCATCACAAGTAATGACTTCAAGAGCCTACTACACTGAAGATAAGCACAGCACAATAGACTATCAATAAAAATTATTATTGTTATTATTCGTCCCTTGGGTTCCTAGTGTAACATAGGGGTTCAGTAGCAGGTCTCCATTCCACTCTGTTCTCCGTAAACTTTAGAACGTGTCTCCACGACTGCCTACAACCTCTCATTTCCTCCTCGCACGATCTCCTCCGCATCACTCTTGACGCCCAACTCGTCGCTTCCCATCTGGGTTCCACTCGAGTACCTGGCCTGGCGCGTGATATCCTCAGTCGGCCTTCTCACTGTATTCTCAATCCATCTCCACTTCCTTCCAGTGCATATTTGTTGGGTGATAGGTTCTTGGTTGGTTCGTTCCCAGAGCTCCTTGTTGCTTATTCTTATTATTCTGGCCATCTGATCTTCAGTAGTGAGCCAGGGTAGGCAGTTGTTAATGAATGTCTGTAGTTTGTTGGAAATCCCTTTCGTAACTATCAATAAAAAAGCATAACAATATTTGATTTTATTTTTTAGCCAAAAATTTATTTGAAGATGAATATGCATCTTACTGTGAATACATTTTTCTCCAGTCAGCGAGTTCTTTTAAAACATTATCACATTCTTCACGTAATAAAGATTCCTCTTTTAAAATAAGATCACATTCCGCATCTGTAGTAATGTTGTCAGCCTTTTGGATAGAAGATTCATTTGCTGTATCATTTAAATTAAGATTATCTGTTTTCATTTTCATTAAATTATTTTCACCGCAATACAAATGGCTTTTAGCTTCTAAAACAATAAAATTTGAGTTTGTTTTCATAATCCTACTTGATGGAGTAGATCTTCGATTACGTAATGCAGAGCTTATACCCCCACATATTATTCCACCTGTAGTAAGTTCAGAAACACGACCTTCTTCGTCTGAAAAAACTAAAAAGTAAAATTCTATCAGATTACAGAATTATTAAAATGTAAGTATGAAAACATCATCTAGTCTTATTTATATACTTAAGTCAAAAAACCCGAAATCAAGAGTTCCAAAAGTGAACAAAATTACTGTCATTACAAATGAAAAGTGTAAATGAATATCAAAAGTATTCCAGTAATGGTAAATAGTAAAACCAAATAATGCTATTTAATGAATAAAGACATACCTTCGGCATCCATCATAACGGATGAACTTCCAGACATATGTGTAGTAGTTTGACTACTGATACTTCCACGACATCCTAATGTATTTTCATGGTACCGTTGTTTTAGTGCTGAGGTAGGCCGAAGCCCTAATGTTGATCGACCTGCTTCAATTGTTTCTTCACTTCCAAGAGGATCTTGCGACTTGTCTGCACTCCTGATACCCTTCTTAAAATTCAAAAAACAGTTTATATTTAGAATTTTTGTATGTAATAATGATTTTTTTTTGACTGTATGGTTTAGTTCTTCATCTACATATTAGATACCTTAGGAATTGGTTAGTGAAATCAAAAATAAATAAGGTGATTCAGTGATATGAATGGCTTCTTGATTTAACAACGTCCCTAATTAGGTATATGTACGATAGATATGCATGAGAAACCATTTAATATCGACATAGGACCTGAGATTAATGCTTAACGGTCCAAGATGCTAAACGCCATACCAGCTCATCAAGTAAGAATGCAACAAGATGAAAGTTTAAAAGATTAGGAAGAAAGTAGTCACAAGTAGCATAAATTAGTCTTCATTGTAGCGTTCACTCGAACAATATACAGGTGAATGTCAACTGGGATGGCATTGAGCTGTGCGTCTTAGCACTCAATGATATACCTACATCTACAAGGCAGCAAACAATAATCATCAAATCTGCAGAAACTCGAAGGATGAATTTTGCAGATTCACCACAGTGGCCGGTGAGGCTAAGTAAATAACTGCGCTTATGTCCCGCAGAAGTGTCTCACAAACGTGTAACACATCCACTTGTTCTAGATTATACAGCAGTGTTAAGGGACGCCTTTTGTTCGATCTGATATAGGGATCGAAGACTGAAAGTTCCGCTTCACAGTTTCCAGCATAGTTTCAGGACACCAGAGGTGTTGTTCCATGGATTTGAATCATCATTGATAGTGACAGAGCTGGAAAGAACTACAGATTACGCGAGAATATCGACTGAGAGGAGTAAAGAAACTTCGGAATATACAGATTTTAAAAGTTGATAATGATCCGTAATTAGCGAAGCGATGAAGGAATTTCCGGGTGGTTGACCTTTTCTGGCCACCCACATTTTGTCAGGTTACTTCTCCTTAAGGTACTTGGAATAATAAAGGGTTATCAATATTGGCGCGTGACCACGGATTCCAAGAGACATCTGCTTGACATCTGTCACACACAACTTCAATGGAAATCCGAGGCTTAGGTTTGTTTGTTTGTTTTTAAACCCTAACCCATACCACCGGCACTGGAAAACTGCAGGATACCAGTCAGTTGGCTATCCCGGAGCCTAACTTTTTCTAAAAACTCACCTTCTCACGGGGGAGGTAGCATCGTCGTGGTACATTTGGTCATCCACAGGAAACTGTTTACTGTTATTGCACCCCAGTTCAGCTACCAGTTCGAATTCTTCCTCAAGTCTCTGTAGTAGTTTATTAATTTTCTCTGTGATGGTAAATGCTTTTCGTCTTATCACTATATAACAGACGTTTCTGGTATGGTAGTACCCAAGAGAGCAATTACTCCTGCAGTATAGCTCACTGAGTCCTTCTAGTGGACAATTCCAACCATCACGTCAAGCTAACAGCTATCGGTCAGGATGCAATAGTGGCTACTCTGTTCTAACTATCTACGCATTGTGTAAGATCTAGGGAAACCTAGGTTGGTTCCAGACCGTCAGATATTTAAATGCTATCATTTTTAGAACCATTAGAAAGATCGACATGTTTTTCAACCGATTTTATTAGAAAAGATCCCCTAACAGTTGGCGTAATAATTGTTGTGCTTTTCAGTTATCTTGCTAATTTGTTTTCCTGCACAATCATGTTAGTGTCAGTTAAAAAGTGAATGCTTACACAACTTCCGATGAATTGGGAAACAAATATTAAATTCTCATCCTTGGATGTTAATCGTCATCTGTTCTTTTAAACTTCTAAGGAAACAGCAGGGCTTCATGAGTCGTATGAGTGAGACATACTTCGTGATTAAACGCAGAACACCGGCTCAGTCCACTGCAACATATATCGAGATTTTTCTTTTCATCTTTAGGTGATTTTTAGCTAGTAAGGAAAATTTCTGAAAAATATTGCACTTATGACTAAGTTTTTTTACTTTTGACGTATTATTTCTTTCGAATTATAAGTTGCTTCTTCATAATAAATATCCTCTTGACTTCTAACTCTAGTGAAACTGTCTTGCGACTACTCCAACCAGTTTTTGACAGCATATCGCTGGAGTGAATAAAAATAGGTGTTGAGTTTGATGACGTAATAAGTATGCGAGTCACTCAGTTTTTGCATATTTATAAATGTCACCCATTGACACTTCCCTTTTTCAGAATTCTAGACCTAACTTCAGCACTTTTAAACCTACATTCTCACTATACGTCTCTAATGATTCAAAAATATTTGTGATCAGTATGCTAGAAGTCAGCGATTGTTATTTTTTTGACGCAATTCAAAACAGATTGTAATAACATGGAACCGAAATCTACCCATCTTTTCAGATAACTTTGTAGACTTTTATGTCCATTGATTGGTCGGCAATTCTGTGACCCACAAAACTAGGGTGGAAACCGATCACTGTGATTTATAGGCTCCCTTACACAAAGTATGAAGATAATATGATATGTCATAACTACTATTGTATTTGTTGGTGTGAACTATATTACCAGATCATGGAGTGGTATATTCAGGGCACCTAAAACCGATTGTGCAATTTTATTCACTTTTTTGCCTTTAAGAAATCTTTAACCATTGTCTACTTCACGATCATTACCACCAATATCTATGTCATCAAATCAAACGCCTTTCTATGTTTGTTGTATGCGTTTCTAGTATCAAAACTTGAACTAGTGCACTTTTATGTTGGTTTTATTTGCATTCACAGAGGAATCTGATGAAAGGAATCAGAGCGTGAAACAAATAAAGTGAGCAGTATTGCATTTGATATCTTGAAGATGATGAATATTAAATGTCATCAGTAATAGATGATACCTAATTATTGCTCACATATGAGAAGGGTTCTTTTTAAAATCCTTAAACAGATGGAAGCATTGTTCTAAGCATCTGTTAAAGCTTACTAAATGCTGAATATCCACTGTAAATAGCAATAACTACACAAAGTAATATGTACAGCACATGCAACCAATAACCAGTTCTTATAAGCGTTAAATATAAATCTTGCCTGTTACTATCTCTCCTTGATTAAAATACTGATCAAATACTTCTATATGACGTGAAAATTAATTAAAAAACCTATCATAAACATTTCTTGAGTCTGAAATAAATATTGAGATCCTATGCAAACAAAGTTTTGTGTAAACCCTAAATGGTTTATTCAAGATAGATTATTTATGTGACATCTGATGCTTGAGTTGTGGGTTTGAAAATAGCAAGATTATAATAGTTGGTGATAACGTTGTCAATACAGCTGTTCTCCTCCTATATTTTGCTGCTGGTTGATTATTACTGTATTCATCGAGTGACTTTCATGATATAGAAAGATAAATACCAACCACTGAATCTTATTCTGCTTCTGCCCATTTTTTATGTGCAAGACATAATTTGAATATTCCTTACATACACTTTCAGTTTTCACATGGAGTTCCTCAGCTTCCGACTTTGTTTTAATTGGAACCTTCTCGCTCCATAATAAGGTTTCTATACATTTAACTTGTGAAGTATTTTCAGAAACCAGTCACAAAAGTTCTGGTCAGGCAATCTGTTCGCGTCCCCATAGTCATTAGGTTACTACTTTACTCATTCAGTGTGGTGAAACTAAAGCCTGGAAACTTTCAAAATTTTGCATCATTTAACTTCATATGTAGACAATAATATATGTGTATGTGTTCCATAACTGTTGCATGTGAAGTAAGTACATCATCTAACTAGTTTACCAACGATACCAACATAGAAATATGAAATCCTCATCAACAGGTTAAGATTCAAGTAACTTAACCACAATCAAACTATACTGTCTCCAAGCTGACTTTATTCTAAGATATGTAGTTGAACAATACACAAATAACCCCACTGTCACTAATTTACCGACGCTGGTAGTGAAAATTTTAAATCCCATAGCGACAAATGTCGTTGTACAGACTTTCACAAGTACATCACCAGAATCATTAGAACTATCACCCAGACATCTCAAAAGCAATGAAGGTTTTCACCTCCAGTTTAACTGAAAGAAATGACTTGATTCGTATGTCGAGACCAGATGCTGTGAAATAGCAATGCAACAAGTTACCGGATTGCTCCCAAAGGAACAAAAAGATAAGAACTTATCCATAAGTTCACAAACTGGACTCAACAGTAATCAAAAATCAAACACATTTCTTCCCTAACTGGTTAGCGAGGCTGCTTAGTTCTTTGTCAAACTGAAAAAGTGGTACAGCTAACTTTTCGAGAGTTTTTCTGAAATATTAGTGACGTTTAAGACTCTTTTACATGACTTAATAGCTACCACAGTTGGTTAGATCCAAGAGGATAGTTTTATTTCTGCATTGGAGCCTACTGTAAAGCACTCTTCATTGTGTGAGAAGAAAGATGAAAACTATGGCAGACAAATAGGTTTCCAGCGGTGTCATTATAAAGAGCTGTACAGTTGTATTCAAACATAATCACTAATGATACCTACTGGGAAAAAGTGTTACCGCGACTTAGCAAATAATATATAGTTTTTGATAAGTTTTTGTCCAGAAAAAAGTACTAAAAAGTTACGTGCGAAATGTTGAAATGTTTAAAACCGCACACTTATAAGTGCAACCAAAGAGGTTTCAGATAAAATGAATAACACTGTTCACATTTAGAATTAAATATCAATTGTGCTGTAACTGCATTTTTTGGAATAAACTTATCAGAGTTATTCTTATCCACCAGAGTTTCAATTTGTCGCCAGTGATCAGTTCACTCTCAAAGTTATTATACACTCTGAAGTAGCTACGTACTTGGTGACAGTGTGAAAAACAGTTCTGCCGCGGTTTTAACAGATACATGACATATAAGGCTTGGAATTTAAATACTTGGCAGCAAAATATACAACAAGAACCAATACATAAATCCTAATTCTGTTTTCCAGGTGAATTCCTGATGATATTTCAAGTAAAAGCACTGAAGAATGTGGGTAGTCATTTGAATTTAAAAATTATTAAAGATAAAGTTGACAAAACCAGACATACCTTACTTACGGACAGTAATCCAACCTCTTTCAGTAGTGTATTTATGTAACTCCACTCACTGTCAAACTTAGTAATGTCATACTCTCCTAAATTTGAAGAGGGATTTTTCTGTATACAGATATCATCCAGAGTAGTTATTTGTGGCAACGTCTTCCTTACAACTTTTCTGTATCTCTAGTGAGTCAAGCGGAAGAAAATAATAACCTACTATCTTCCCACCACACTTGGTAACAAGTGGATTTCCTTCAAGAGTAAGTGTTGTTAGGTTTCGACATAGACGAAGATGAGATAAATTTGATTTTTCTTCAATCAAGTTACTTAGCTACATTACCATGAAATATAAAACAGATTACCCTTCAAGATCCATCACTTCAATATTATGCAACATTGCACACGGACTGAGGTCCGAAATCCCATTGAATGCTACGTATAATTCAACTAACTTTGTAAAAATTGATAGACCATCAAGACTAATCAGATGACATCGTGGCATCCAAACAACTTCCACGTTGTTGAGGCTCGTTCCAAGATCTCTATGAAAGATTAGATCTGAAGGCGTAAACTCACCGAATAGTATGTATGCTACTGTTAGATAACCTCAGTTGTTTGAGATTAGGTAAATATGACCAAAAGTCTCCTACTGACATGCGATCTGCATCCACTTGCAGATCTAAGGTGAAAACCGTTGTCAGGTCGTCAGACCTTGTGATTTCCCTCTAAACAGGTGTTCAGGATATACCTAAAACTTGAAACTTTACATACAAGTCTTTGTTCAGTTAGGTAGTCATCACCAAGATCAACATATCCACGATTAGACACTGGTGTTGGGTTAACCGATTCATCGGATATTTCTGTGACATGAACTGCTGCTGACTTTGGACATAAACCACTAATAGAAGCAATCATTTAGTAAAATAGTTATTAATTTATTTGAAAAACACAACTTGGAATGGTACTCTGTCATTGCCATCGCAGTGCTTCCGTTCACGTAACAGTTCTCAACCTTCTAATGAGCATTATATACTATTTCATACTACACCCAGTACAAACATGGAGAAATAATTTACACTAGCAACGCTTTTGAAAATGTGGTTGGAAATATGACAGAGAAAAACAAATAATCCAGCAACGATTGTGGGGGTGGTGGAAGTTTTTAATTTTTTGAGCTCTCGCTTGTAGGTCTTCAGAATTGGTTCTTTTAATCTGGTTATACTCCTTCGGTGGTGGCAGAAGTCCTTACGTTTCTCTTGCTTATAGCTTTGGAGGTAATGATTATCTGTCTAAAAGTATTTTTTCTGACGAATTGTGGCTTGGTTTGTTTGAAGCAGTAGCGAAGCTGCTGATGTGATCAATTAATCTTCCGTAAGTTTCACTTTTGTACGCACGTGTAAGTAAGCATTAGGCGTCCCCTAAAAGGTGTTAGAAGTAGAGTGAGTGGGGAATGAGGAAAGGAGGAGTGAAAAATGCTTGTAAAAAACAAGCGTTGGTAGTAGCTACATGGAGAGGAGATGTGTCCTGCTGTAGATACCAGGGTTGGGGAATGTAGGGGTGGATGGTCATATCTTCTGTTGCTACCGAAGTATGTTCACGATAAGCCGTTTGAAGTCATTTGAACGAGTAAACTGATTTGGCTTTGGCTGCTCGCTTCTGCAGTGCTTCATAAGACACGCTCTATGTCAGGAGGAGTATAGTCTCACTAACCGATATTTTTCGTCTCTCGCATCCAGTTCTTGAGGCTTAGTTCATCCTGTTCGGCTTGCTCTTGAGGTCAGCGAGGAGATCTATTATCATTACAATTTCCCCAAATCAACTGACTGGGGTTCGATGAGATTCAAAACTAGTGTTGAGCGTCTTAGTTTCAGCTATCTGGCCGGGCCGTAGGCACGTGGTTAGGCATCCAAGCCAATGGCAAGCTTAAGTGCTACGTTGCATTTCTTCAACGTTATCACGTACCTCGTTGGTCGACGAGTATTGGCAGCTTTGAGAGGTCTGTATGATGTAATCTTCTTACAAGGTTACCCTGTTGTGTTCTTCCTTGGTCTCGCACACATGGGTGTCCTACAAGCAAGAAGAACTGGGACCGGCCTCTGCGTTTGTCAAATGAGTGTAGATGGTATTCCGAAAATCTTAAGTCTGGATTCCATTAACGAGTTCCCCTTGTTTTAATCCTACTGTGGGCGTGAAAGTCCTTTCTACCCACCTACCCTAAGCTCTTGAGGATTAGTTGTATGTTGCCCCTCTGTTTAGTTAAAAAACCGCGCAGATGTTGAGAACTATGATGTTCTTTCTGAGACTGATGTTTGTTTGGGGGCCAAGAGCTAGCTAAGTTGGTCCACATCAAACAACAAGCGAAAGAAAACGTGTAGCAGTGTGTGGTAGAAGAGAAAAGAGAAAGGGGATCAACATATGGTAATATTGAGTGTCCATGGAGAGTCAGGTGCGAAAAAATGCTCGGATGATGGACAAGTCACGTCAGAGACTTCCTGTGTTGGTTGTTATTGAAAAATGCACCAACGGGTACATGTGGTTACCTTTCAAATTACTCCACTTTTGCAGCCAATGCTGTTTCCTTGTGATGAGATACTTCATGATGTGCGCATTCTCAGCGGAAAGAAGATGGTGTCCATCTTGGTGTTAACGCTTTGGTGTCCTAGTCTTGCTGGGTCCCCATTTCGACGTTCGCTCTGAGTTGGTATTGACTGTTTTGGACGCTTCGCCAGATAGGCAAAATTGTTCCGCGTCATCAGGCTACCTTGTCCCCCATGAAAGTTACTGAAGAAGAGGTGAGCGCATTGCAGAAAAGGTTTGTTCCACAGCCATACAACAAATTTTACTGCCCTTACAAGTGTCATCCTGAAACAGCAAGAGTTCTACGTGGAAAGTGAGAGGGATATTGTGTTCAGAATTTCGGAATACATTTCGAAAAGTGTTTTGAACACTATGAGAAAGGATTTAAAAGTGAGAGGACCAAGCTGCTTCCAAATGTAGTATGAGCCAGAGTTTGGCCAAGAAGTAACCCCTCCATCGTTTTTGCTGTTTTTCTAGAGCAGAGGGAAAACCTAGGCCCAAATCCTCTCTTGCTGCCAGCAGAACAGGGATATCTTTCAAAGCGTAGTTCAGTCTGCTACATCCACTAGTCTGAGGACAGATTACATTAAGCTTCCTCATATTAAATTTTTGACTGTTTCTTGCTGCCTGAGACTTCATAATATGACGGGTTGTCCTGTGGCCGTTCCGGGTCATCCCTATCGTTCAAATTCCACAATAATTCGATGTTATCTGGGAATAGTGGGACGGGGGGAGAGGCCCTCTTGCCACCTCGTTTAGGGAAGGACACAGAATGAAATGAACCAGGGACTGTGGAAATCCCTATTGCGGACCAAGTTCTGCTTATCACACTCCCCAGGTACTCTCCGAACCAAAAGAATGGTAGATCACCGACCCCCACTCTCAAAAATTTGGGCAGTAAGTGTTTTCTTTGAACACCATCAAGAGCCCTTGATAGGCTTGGTAGAGTGGCGTGAAAAGATTGCTTATGGTCTCAGTCAGCCTTCCAACCGTCCTAAACTACTAGCGACTGACGTAATACCCTCCGTCCCTGAAGCTCTTCTAGGCTTAGTGAACGACATCGCTCCTATTGAGGAATTATCAGACAACACCACTTGCTGCGCTTTCAGCGTCCTCGAGAATATGGGTAATCGAGTTGCAGATTTAGATTACATCGCGTTTTTTCTGTTACCTCTTGGTTCCGCTTCCTTGGAGTGAGAACTGTGTCATGCACGTGAAATTCTGCTCCAACTCACTTCTCATTTAGGTTCTGAAAGAGAAAGCGGTAAACACTAATAGTGACTAATCGTATTGTTTCAACGTCACTGTTGTAACGAACAAAATTCAAACATTTTGGTCTGAACGCAGAAAACAACTCAGCAAAACCAAGCTAAGCTGATCTAGACAAGTTACTGCGTTCTACTGTGCGGTTTCCCGAACTTCCGTGAGTCACCCATAGTCAAAGATTACGTTTCAACAATATCAAAGCGCGAGTTGGCGTGACAAGTCTGTGATAAATTTGTAGCAAAACTGTGGTTCTACCAAACGGCAACAAGATACATCAAAATTACAAAATTGCCTTAACGTTGCCGCTTGGAAGCTGTGCAGCCTAAAAATTTCTTTGTCACAGACTACGTGCTATACAGCAAGATGCAGATTAACCAGACACAGTTGTTGAATATAGGGGAGTCGATAGGAGTATCCCCGAAAAAATGGGATAAAAAATATGTTCACAAAAGTCAAGTCAGTAGTGCGCAGTCAAAAGACAAGCAGCCAATTCGCAGCACAACCTTGAGTTGAGCCGAAACAAACTTTCGGGAATAGTGAAACAACCCAATGTTGTTAACAGTCCGGCATTATATGACGGCAAAGTGAGGCATTCATGATATTTCCCGATCAAAACAAAGCTATATGATGGTTTTTAGTCCAAAGAAGTCAGGTAAATGACAAGATAACATGAAATCGGTTAGGGTTAAAAGCGCAAAATCCACGATGAAAGGTGAAACTATTCAAATGAATATCAACACTGTCAGATAAAGTGGTTAGGAGATTTTCAAGTCAACCGGTGCCGACGTTGGTGAACAGTTTCCGTTTAAATGTGTATGTTAGCTCAGGCATTAACCACATCCTCAGGATGAAAATCTCATAGCTCACACTTCCTTGCCAGAAACAACTGGCTTCCATTTTTGAGCCGGATCATGTGACACGTCATAGTCATTGCCCTTGTTCTGTACCGCACAGACCGTGGCTTCAGTTTCCTAAGGTGGGGTGAATACGGCTTATTTCCTCGTCAAACAATCCCTTTAGATGTCCATCTCCAAAGTATTTTTCGAGGAACGGTCTCCCTTCTGAGATTAAGTGACATATCAGCCGAGCTGGCTCACAAATGTGACCCACATAGAAGCAGCTAATTGTTTTGAAAAGTTGTTCCGTTAGACACTGTATGAGTCCTGATCGATGCACAAATGTGCTGAAAGCTTGCTGACAGTTGATCGGAAATATGCACGGCCAACAAAAGTTACCAAAAAATATACCTTCTTGTCAGTCTAATCCAAAAGAAAGGATGCAATAGTCCTCCGAAGAGAGTTAAAGATGCTTTTAGTCATTTCATTCACAGTCACTAACTTACGTTTGTCTTCGTCAATTTAACGTAACGCGCTGAGGGCTCATTCAGTTTTTTCATATCCTCCAGAAGGCTAACTACCGTGGACCCATAAAGTCTCCCCCAAAACCTCAGACCATCAGCACGGATCCCTGCGAGAGACAAAAAGACCGACAAACTATTAGCGAAGACTGAAAATATTGAGGGACGCAGTACAATAAGCTGATAAGCCATACAGTGGACTAAACCCACATGGTCGGTGACTGCTTTTCGTGGTAGTGCCCTTCCGGTCTACCAGCAACCTACTTTCCCTGAGAGTTAGTTAGAAACCAAGAGATAGAGGACAGCCTGGGGCCTAGTCACATCCAATTGAGACTTGTGATCCGGTAGCATCGGGAAAAGAAGTCTTGTTTAGGCGAAAAAGCTGAAACGTTCCCTATCTTTTTTGTGTTGGGCGCGCTACACCCAGTTGCTAAGCAACAAGTTTACACACATACACACACGTTCATTATTGGACTGTCTTTTGATGACAAATGACGGGAACAATCAGTCTGAACAACAAAACAAAAACCAACGACACAAAGACAGAAAATTCTACATGTGTCTTTTGACAGCACATATTTTGGTGTTGAATGAAAACCCGAACATTCTACAGAAGAAGCTGCGGCATACACAGCGAAAAGTTCAGGAAGACTTGTTTCCGGCTTTCTAAACACGACGGGATTATATAGTATTAAAACTTACCCATACAATAGACCTAAACAATCGAAAAGCGCTGCGAGACACCACGTAATATGTTTCATCCGCGGTTCATCCCACAA